GCAAAATAGAATGGACTTTGTTCTGGTACCAGGAAAAGGGCATCTTACGTCAGGACTTTTCACATAGGAAGAATTTGTACTCGATGTATCTTTCTCTACTTCAGTTCTTGTAAAGGTAAACCCCATGAGAAATAGCATGTGATGCTTAAAATTAAAACAAGATCTCTATGCTTTTTAGTACAGTAAATACTTCAAAAACTTTTTGGAAATTGCATGCTGCATGGCAGAATTTGTTTGACAGAATTTGAACCTTCTATCTTATCCTACAGCCTCCTGCCTCCTCAATAAAGTAAGCTTATGCATAGGGTGGGATTTCCTAAATCTCTCATACTGAGCATTTTTTTGTTTGTCGGTTTTGTTTTTTTGTTGTATGTCTTAATGGAATATTCATTTGGATAGAAAGGAGGAGTGATTATCAATCTCTTCTGAAAAGGACTCTGCTACATTTATTTGTTTGTCAATTCCTTGACTTTGTTACTGCACTCACCTATTACGTCTAGCATGATCAAACTTTTGGTGGTAAGTGTTTGAACACCCATCAAGGCTGGCATTTAGCTTTCACCATTGCCAATCTTAGTTGGTAAAAATCAAATAGGCATTAGTATATTCCAGCCAACCACAGAGCTTTAGCCAACAAAGATTTCTTACAATTACAAATATATATATATTCTTAGATTATCATCAGAGCTCTTTAGAACTTTGTTTATGCACATACAGGAATTGTGCACTCAGATCACCCGGAATTTTGAGACTCATCCATAGTGTTTCTGTCAGTGTAAGTTCAGAGATTGAATTTTTCTGACTGGATCAATAGCAAGAAGGTTTTCTCTTGAAGGAGAATAGAGCAGAGCAAAGTATTTATAACTGTTTTGGTGGTGGTTTGTGATCACAGTTTCTGGTTTGTGTTGTATGACCAAGTCAACTCATAGGCTATTTCATAGGAAGGGTGAGACACTTACATAAGCAGAATTTGTTGTATTTACTTACATTTATCAGATATATTAAGCTTGGCACTGCATGGTATAATATACTGGACGTTATGGTAGTTTCCAGGCTCCAATTTTGCATTCCTGAGCTACACCATTTTGAATGTTTCCCAAAAGTCTTACTGAAATGCCTCCAGAAAATCAGATCCTTTCTCAGTCTAGAGTGAGAATGTAAAAAATGTGGACTCAATATTTCCTGTGGAGTCCCATCTGGACTAGCACAGCAGCTCTCTGTTGGCTCAGGATAATTGAGTGGTTTCCTGACTTGCCCTCATAAAGGAATTTTTACTTGGATAATCCCTTCCTTTCTTGGCTTTCATTTTCATTTGTCTTCTATTTATTTTCATGTTATATTTCTTGTTTCCATGCCTGTGGTGGATTGACCCTGGCTGGATGCCAGGTGCCCACCAAAGCCACCTCAGCTGCACATGGAAGCAAAAATATAGCAAAAGGCTTGTGGGTCGAGATAAGGGAGAGATCACTCATCAATTGCCATCACGAGTAAAGCAGACTGGACTAGGGTAAAGTTAGTTTGATTTATTACTAGTCAAAGCAGTGTAGGGTAATGAGAAAATAAAAACTAAATCTTTAACATCTTCCCTGTACCAATTCCTTCTTCCTGTGCTTAGGTTTACTCCAGAATTCTGTATCTCCTCCCCCACAGTGGCTCAGCAGGATGGGGAATAGCGGTCGCAGTCAGTTCATCACACATCATCTCTGCCACTCTTTCCTCCTAAGGGTGAGGACTCCTCATGCTCTTCTCCTCATACTCCCATGTGAGGTCCCTCCTGGGAGAGACAACCTTCCATGGACTTCTCCAACATGAATCCTTCCCAGGGGCTGCAGTTCTTCATGAGTTACTCCAGTGTGGGTCCCTTCTGTGGGGTGCAGTCCTTCCAGGAAGGCATGGGGTTCTCCATGGGCTGCAGGTGGATCTCTGCTCCATTGTGGACCTCCATGGTCTTCAAGGGGATAACCATGCTCTTCACCACAGCTGTGTAGGGGAATCTCTTCTCTGGCACCTGGAGCATCTTCTCTCCCTCATTGTGCACTGACCTGGGTATCTGCTGAGTTGTTTCTCACATGTATTCTCACTTCTCTCTTCAGCTGCAATTGAGCAGATTTTTTTCCCCTTCTTAAATTTGTCATCACCATTATTGATGGACTTAGCCTTTGCCAGTGGCAGGGCCTGGATCCTCTGACACTGGCTCTGTCAGACACAGGGCTTCCCCTTCTTCTGGCAGCTTCTCACAGGATTAGGTTTGTAGCTTCTCTGCTACCCAAATCTTACCATGCAAACCCAATCAGTATCTCCAAACTAAAAGCTACAGATAGGCAGTATCCTTGTCTTAGGGCTGTGCACCACAGCTGTGTGTGGAATATATTACTAATACAAACTGAATGCCGTATTTTACTGTGTTTTGCAACAGAATTTTATTTGATAAGGCTTGCTAGGGAATCAGGCTTCTTCAGTGTTTTTATTAGTGACCTTGGCACTAATCTTTAGATGATGTGGAGTTGTGAAATAGCATCAGTATAGAGGAGAAATAGACTAATGTAGGAAGAAATTATCTTTGTAACATTGAATAGAGAAATATATAGGGGTCATATGTATACAGCCAATAAAAGGAATTTTTTCTTGAAAATTTTTGACTGGACAACTCAACAAGGAGTGATACCTGAGTGCTTTGAATGAGAATAAGCTACTGTCACCATATAGTCTTGAGTAAACAAGTGCAAGAAAAGGATATATGAGGGGAGATGGTGGACAATGTGCTGGTGAGGCCACCCTGGCAACAAGTGCGCGTTCGGGTCAGCTTTGACACGGCATGGAGCTGGATGCTTCATGGAACATTCTTGTTACAGTATATTTCAAGGACAAGGTTCAACTCAAGAACACAAATCCAAACTATTACAGTGACACTGTGGAACAATAAACAGTTTCTACTGATATGTTGTCTGTGGAGCACATTAGAAGTACCATTTCTAATTTCCATGCTCTAAGTGCTTTTGAGGTGGTTTCCAAAGAATTAACAAAAAACGTACCTGTATTTTTGGTGCTTGTTATGCAGTATTATATTGTGATCTTACAGTGTTATCTATTTAGACTTTATGTGTACATTCATGTGTAAGTTAGGAGAAAACTCAGTTTCTCTCTAAACTTAAGGTTCCTGAAGTTTTCTTTGTAACTAATGAGAGTGAATACCCAGTAGGCTTTTACACAGATACACATTTTGACCATTTGAAATAGTATAGATAATTTTATGCTAGAATAGAGACTGTAATGAGAAATGAGTTGTGAATCAAGTAGCAATAGGTCTGATTTGGTCACTTAGGTGGAAATGGAGATGACTGGAAAATGAGGAGCCTGAATGTTGCCTGTTTGTCTTTCCTGTGTCTGTGGTTGGTGATGCCCAAAAGAGACATATAATGAGGTGGTCTTTGAAAACAGGTGACAGTACAAGTGAGCAAGAACATTAAATGGTGCCTCTGTAAATTAATTGCACCTAATTTTTTGTTCTACTCTTTGGACCATTCTTTTATGGTTGCACGTGGAGTGATTCTGGTAATTCTATTCTCTAGCAGCAGCACCTGTAAGCTACTTGTCTAATGCAGAGAGAGCAGGAAGGAAGTGAGATGTGTCTTACTCCAGTGCAGATCTACTTTGCAACCCCTATCCCATCCCCTGGACTTTTGCTGCCCAGGTGCTGCTTGAGAGCTTTATGGTGGGTGAATCATACTTGTGCAAAGCCAGGTTGTCCAAGAATCTGCACAGAGAAGACAAAACTCATTTTCTATCATTGACTCTCCTGCCAACTTCTGCATAGCATAGAGCTGTTGTTTCGGGCAGTGAACATTGATTTGCATCTGCTTAGCTTTGCAAGCCTTCAAGTGACGTGCTGTAGTCCATCAGGCATTACCAAGTCTCTATTAAATGCAATCCTGTCCTGTTTGTGCTTTATCATTTCATTTTATCAGTATTGAAACCTGCTTTGCTATTCCTGGGTCACTGACAACCCTAGTATGAAAGTATCGAAATTGCAGACCTGTGTGTATGTCTGCACTTCCTGAAGAGTGACACAGGCTTCTCTATCAAAGGCTAAAGTCAGTGTTTCTTTCAGGAAATACCAGTTTCTTCTGGTGTTTATTCCCCTTCTCTGCTTCTTTGGATTGCAGATGCAGAAGAGTAAATAAAAGGGATTGCCACACTTGTATGCAGGAAGGAAAACTGAAACTTGAGGAATTCTTTGATATATCAACTGTGAGCTGGGAAGTACATCAGCCATGAACAGGCATATAGCTGTGACAGTTTCAGATAAATTCAGGCCAACGGTGTTGCCAATAATAGATTTGTACTGCAACTAACAGTATTAAGGAGCAGCATTCATGGTGGTAGTAGTAGAGATATCAGGTGAATTTTTTTTTTTAAATTATTATTATTATTATAAATTCAGATTTCATTTCAGCTCCCATTTCTCTGTTTCCTTAAGCAGAACAGCAAACCACAACTGATATAGCAGACAGATATGGTTGTTACTCTTCTCACCACTCAAGGTACTGCTAGTACCGTGAATAACACCTGAGTTGTTCTCTGTTACTGCTCTGTCACTTTTCAGGAGAGAATTGCTGTTGGATGAAGGAGGGAAGAGAGATTCCTGCCTGCTTTCTCTCCCTTTGATTTGTGCTGTGAGTTTTGGCAGGGTTCCCTGGAAACACTGAAGGGAAGGGGAGCCAAAAGCACAGTAGGTATGGTGCAGGGCAGTGTTTGGGAATGGTATCATCAGAGAAGTGCAAAACATAGGATTTTTTTACATATATAACAAGTGATTGTTTGGCCGTGTCTGTATTTAGACCTGTATTAATGATGAGTATGTGTACCCTATCTGCCCTTAAGTCTGTATCTTTTGGAAAGCAGTTCTGAATAAAAAATATTCACATATTATATCTGAAGTATAATATGTTTTATATTACATTTTAGGTGCAGGGCTGAAGGTTCAAATTTCTGTTCTTCAGATACCCTTCCAGAAGGAAGTTCAAGAGTTATTAGTATTTCTCTTTAATGCAGAGAAGAAAGACAGAGGTCAAGTCCCACTCTCAAAAGTCATGAAATATTAAACTGATAGATTTCCCCTCTGTACTTCCTTGTCTTTATTTCAGTTTGTCATCCAGTCTAATAAGTATTATTTGGTTGAAGTATATCTTTCAGAAAGACATCCAGACTTGCCTGAAGACATTAAGTGATGGAGAATTCACCACTTCTCGTAGTTAATTAATGCAGATGATTAATTGATGAAAGATGAATTTATGCCCTGGTTCAGTTGTGTGTGGAGAATTTATTGCCTATGGTTGATGTGAAAAAGCACTGGCTATAATTCTGAAAGAGCAGCAATGTGGTAACTTGGTTTGGTAAATACTTGCATTTTAATAGCCTCAGGTTTAGAAGACAGACTAGAATTCCTAGTATATGGTAGTTATTTTTCTGGACATATAAAGCAGTAAACCATCATGGCTGGTAAGTTGCACCTAAAATATTTTTATATTATCAGAGAAATAGGTTTTATATTATCAGAGAATCTTGTTTTGAGCATGAGCCTGTAAAAGGCCATGACTCTAACCCAAGAAGGCTTAGCCTCGTGGTATTAATAGGTACCACATCACATGGAATGTGATGCATTAGTTGTCTCTGGTATTCCAGCTACAGGTAAAAGGAACTCTTGTTTATCACTTTATATGTTATTTAATCTATTTTCATGATGACCTTTGTGCTTTAGGATCAAGCTACTGGTTATATATATTAATATTACTCTCATAGTTCTTGATTATAGTTTCCATTGCTTTTGTTTGAGTGCTTATTTTAAGAATGACTCTAGTTAATTTTTTTGTTATTTTGCAGAGTACAGATGCCAATTCAAATGTGAGGAAAAGAACAAATGCCACGGTACAGTCCGAAGCTGATGGTGGGAGCCGAATTGACACAAGGCACAGCTCCATCCAGCCTCCCTCTGTAGCTCAGGGGTCTTCTGACATTACACCCCACTCCCTTTCTGCATCAAGTCCCAACCCCTTCACACGCATCAATGCATCAGAGACATTATCTTCTGCAAGAGCTACCCCTCCAGCTCCTCCTTCTACCCCAATTTTAACTGGATTTGTATCCCAGCATGCCAAAGCTGGATCCCCTTCCATTCAGCACTTGCTTGGATCTAGACTGGAGCAGATTCAGACCACCACACCTAATACATTAGGAGCATCTGCAAAGCCATCTGCTGTCACACCACCTGCTCCCCCCGCCTCCCACTCTGGCACGAGTAAGATAGACAAATATGCACGCATTTTATTTCCTGTTACGTTTGGAGCATTTAACATGGTCTACTGGGTGGTGTATCTATCCAAGGATACCATGGAAAAATCGGAAAGTCTAATGTAGTTTTGCTGCTATGTAGTAGTTCCTAAATTATACTCACATTTGATGCATAGTTTCTTCTTTTGAAACTATTTAAAAAGGTCAGTAATTCTTATTTATAAAAGCTGTGTGCTACTTTCCCGTTGTAAAGGCTGGAGCTATTGGGGATAATTAGTTAGCTCTTACCAGAGTACTGGGTAACAGTAATGGGTCTCCCTCCCTTCAATTAGGAACGAGCCATCACTCCTTCAGACAAACTACTCTGGATGTACAGAACTTGTCTTTGGGAGGAACATGCACCCGAAAAAATCAGAGGCAGAGGTGCACAGCTGTGCAGTGGAGCACATCTGACTGCTAGAAATATGCACGTTGGCTATTACAAATCCCTGAGGCACCCAGCACTGCTGTCTGGACACAGCATTGCATTCTCTGAGTGCAAGGTCCATGTCCTGAATATTTTGACAGTGCTTGCTAGAAAAGGACTGTCCCTGCTAGATTAAAATTGGCAGAATGGGGGGAAGAAAATGAGAAGTGGAAAAAGAAAAGAGAGTCCAGCCTGGGAAAGTGCAACTCTGGGAAAGTTATGCAAAGGAGTTGTAGAGCTCCATATATTTTTACTAAGCATTATTTTGCATTGTAACTCACTCCAAAATAATAATTGAACCTCATAAAATCTGAAATCTGATGTAATTCTCAAAATTGGATTTTCTAGTTTGGTAAGGTGATCTTAACTGTGTGATTCTTCTTTGACCTTTCTGACCAGCCTGAGTGGATTTATTCCTAAATTACATCCTTTGTAGTAGATGAGGACCAGATCTGCAATGTTGAACTTTTAATTTGAATTCTTTGTTTTTTCTTTGGATGTTTTGGGGTTTGTTTTTTTTTTTCTTCTCCCCCTCCACCCTCCCATATTTTTCAATTACATTCTTGATTTCCTTTGAACACATATTCTGCCCCTACTTCATGTAATGTTTATGTCAAGTTAAATTTTCAACATAGTTTTAAAAGTGTTCAAAATTAAGCAAAAAAAAAAAAAAAAAAAAGTCCCGTGCTTTGATGAGTGGGGCTATGGCTTGTCAATGTGTGAATGAAAGACACTCTTTTTGTGAAGGACTATTGTGACATAAATAAGAAAATAAAGTTTCTAGGTGGAACCCAGGGAAAATTTATCATCCATTTGTTTATTTTAAACTATGGCATAGATAGGCACTTTTCTTAGCATCTCAATATGCAATGTGCAAGCTGGGGAGTTTATTAAAAAATCAAATAGTTAAACCTGGTAGAAGTCTTGATCATAAATGTTGTTTTCACTGGAACGGGTGGAAGATACGCTGTTAATATGTATAAATATGTTTGTACAGATCATCTGGCTAGGCAAATGGTTAGTGTTTCTGTGCAGATGACAGGTGAAAATCAAAGGCCAAATTCTCAGCTGTGATCTGGCTGTGTCTTTAAAGGGTCTGGACTAAACCTTAGCTTCAGTTGATTGGAGCAGCAGATTGGTAGCCTATGGTCAAAGTCAAATGCTGCAGGGCAGATCAGGTGAGTGTTAAGTGTTTCTGTGCCCAGACACTGATCAAATGACTGGTGGAGACCACAAGTAAGTGGGATAACTGAGGGCATTTTGAGACTGCCCTACACTACACTGGGACAAGAGTCAGAATAAAAAGAACCCATAATGGTGAAACTAGGACTGTGCCCCATCTGTCTATTAAACTATGACTGTTCTGGCTCTCCGAGCCTTTTAGCCATCTCATGGCTGAGAATCTGACCTTTAACTTACGGGACCTGGGAGGTGGCAAGAGATCCCAGGCTGCTCTTTCCTGTGTAACATTGGACTGTAGATGATAAAATGCAGAGGATGTGGGAGTGTCTTATGTGACTTTAATGTACTGATGATATAAACAATTGCCTTAGTCTTTTTTTCACTTAAGGGATGCTCTCAAAAGGCCAGGTTTAGTCCTTTCTTTTTTTGTCTTTTACATCTAGAAGATGTTTGAGCACTCTTTGAAAACCATTACATGCAACATACCACAGAATTGGAAATGGAGTACCGATGCAAGATGTCTAACTTCAGTAATTTGTGTCTTTGGATGTACTGCTAGTTGCTGTAGGTGTGTCCTCTCTGATAAGGTCAAATTGTTACAGTTTGTGAGAATAGATGATAGTATGCAAGAGACTGATTATTTATTTTGTTAAATCAGAAGAAACAAAGCTAATCCTCTGGCAATTATTGATTATAATTATACAGATGATAAAATATTTCTAGCATGAAGAATGATGACCTTCTGTGTGGAGAACCTAGTGTGTGCAGCAGAAGTTACTGAAATTACTGTTGGCTTTCCTCTGTGATGAAAACCAAGTATGTTTTCTCTCAGGCAGAGCTCTAAACAATTAATTAGAAACAGCTCTCTCTTCCTTCCACCCATCCTGATACACTGATTTATAATCAGCTTTTTCTAGTGCATTGTTCAGTGGGATCAGCACTGGTTGAGGTTTATCTAAATGAGATTTATCTAAATGTGCTACTTGAATTCACTTATAGTTTTATTTTAAAGACTTATAAGGAGGAATAAGGATTGCAAAAATTAATAGATTACAAATATTTATTTCTATGCTTCAATTTTGGAAGAAGTTTTTAAGGATACCACTAAAAAAAAAAACAAAACCCAAACAATTACCTATTTTAAATCTGACAGTGTATTTTTGAAGTACTTTACAACACTTCCATGCATACATTGAAAATGAAACACATTAAAAAAGTCATTATGAGTCTAGGACTCATCTGTTGAACTGTACTACATTTTTATGTTGCAGCATATAAAGACATTACTGTAATTGCCTTTCCAAAGTACATATGGACAATGTAAATAGGATTTTATTGTTAACAGTGGTTCTTCCTTATATTTAATCTTCTTGTAGAGGGATCAGAAACAGTAAAGAGCCTGTAGTATACTCAGTGATGCTGTAACACAGAATCACACACACACAAAAAAAGTGGGAATATGCTAAATATAGTGGCCCAAATGTTCAGAACTGCTAACTAAAATCCTAAGGGAGAACATTGCAGGTGTCATTTCAGTGACCGAATGGCTTATTATAGCTGAGTTTGAGTGAAATGAACTCTACAGGAACTATTTTTTGTTGTTGTTTTTTATTTTTTCTATCGGCTTTGTTGAACAATGTTTTTTGTTTTTTGGGTTTTTTTTTTTGAGAGTACCATATGATTTAAAGCTAACTAGACACTTGAGGTAAGTTATATCTGTCAACAGGAAATGAAACTGGATAGAAAGTCAAAAATCCTTACCAGGGAGCAGAGGTAGATCTCCACTGACTGCGGTTTTCTCGGAGACATTGCTACCAGCAGCAAAACTCTCACAGATTGCAGTGGTACAGCCCTCCCCACTAATGCAGTCATTTGAGAAAAACAGTTGAAAATGTGGTTCAGGAAGGTTGCTGTCACGGAGAGAGTGATCAGGCATTGGAATGGCCTGCCCAGAGAGGTGGTGGATTCACCGTCCCTGGAGGTTTTTAAGACAAGGCTTGATGTGGCACTGAGTGCCGTGATCTAGTAATCACAGTGCAGTTGGATCAAGGGTTGGACTTTATGATCTTGGAGGTCTCTTCCAACCCAGTTAATTCTATGATTCATAGAAACTGAAGTGTGTTTTGTAGTCAACTGTGAGCCCTCTATTAACAGGTTTCACTGCAATTGTGAAAATAATGAAGCTGAGCAAGGTGGCAAACCTAGACCCCGCCCTCCGTGGTGACCTGAGCTCTTCGAGCTCACCAGCTTTACTGGAGTCTGTTTTTCCTCCTACAAAGTGGACTCATCTCCGCCAAATTGGTTTCGGTGGTGCATTTCTTCTCCTATGTGTCTTTTAAAGGGGGAAAAAGTACACTTTGTAAACTGTTTAGTCATCCACTTTACATTACCCTGTGATCAGGCAAGTAGACCATACGATAATTGAATGAAAGAGGTAAATAATTTAATAAGGAATGTGAATAGAGCTTTTCTGTTAACAGACACTAAAAGTTTATTGATTATAGGGTGTTCAGGTGTAGCCTTTGGCCTCTCATCATTGTCATCATTCAGGATGGACCTTGCAAAAAATGGGGAAAGCCAAGTAACTGTATTTAATAGGATTTAACCAGTATTTCTACAGAAAATTGAATGAACTCAGCTTTTTGATATGCGCAGAATTCTATCTTCTTCCACTGTCTCGCATACCTTCTGTATGTCATTTGACCACAGGGTACCTTAAGCTGTAGTACGTTGTCTGTGTGCCATGTGACAGCATCAGAGGATGCAGTGTGTATTTACCCAGTTTATCCAAAGCTTAGTGTTCCCATATCCCTTGTGTTATTGGAAGTGGAGGGAAGGCCAGAATGGAAGAATGACCACAATGGTTTGTAAGAGACACACATTGGCCACCTGGGACATCTTCCCATAGGTACTACAGGAGCTTTCCTGGGAGAATCTTTCTCAGTGTACTATAGCACACTGTCCCTCCAAATACCAAAAATTTCCAAGAGGTCTATTTGGAAAGCAGAGTAGATCATGGGCTTTGCACACTGGACTCCAGAACTTTTGCTTGACCCAAGAGATAAAGGAGAAAAGAAATTTTGGTGAGTTTTAACTTGTCTTCCTGTAACTTGCTAATAGATCTTGACCATGCTGAAATAGAAAGGGGTTTTGTGGCTGGAGCTCTTATGAATTGCAATACAGACAGGTGAAAAAAATTTACCCTTGGTTTTTCTTAATCCTAATATTGAATAACAGATTAGGAAAATGGCAGCTGTGTTGAGAAGCCTAGGTGTAGTATATCTACTGATGATATTAATAAAGCCGAGGATAATCAGAGTTGTAGAAGTCTTACAGAACAGCAGAGCTATGTGGCAGTTTAGTGCTAAGTGGGAAGAATAGGAGGCGCTTCCTTTTATAGTCTGACAGGAGTAAAGCAATACAGCTTCTCCATTTATATTTGGAGGAAAAAAGCTCTATAAACAAAATTTCATACTCAGTGAAAAGCCACGGGGTAAAAAATTATGGAGGTCAGTATTAACCACCAATCACAACCCCAAAAAAACTAGGAAAAAAAAATCCAGGAAAAAAAAGGAAATTAATTAAAAGTTAAATGACAGTAACATCCTTTTTTCCTATTTTTTTTTCAAGACCTTATATTTATTTCACTGTGGGATTTCAAAGCATGTTTATATTTTTGTAAGAACCTATATTAGTATTTACTGACACCAATATGTGTTTTTCTGTTTTTCTTTTGCTTCAGAGCACTTTAAACAGGAAGTTTAAAAGGAAAAAATGTGCCATTTTGAAAGAGTATCTGATATGCATTAATTTATGCAGTTTTCATTTGTAGGCCTCTCCTCAGAGTCCAGATATAGCTACTTTGGAGAACGTTAGTGTGGTTAGTAGTTTCACCATGTTCTGAGTAAATGAGACTTCAAAAGTAAGTTTTTGCCACATCCCAAGCAAGTGAGAGTAGTGTGAAGTATAGAACACCCTGTAGAGATCTCTCTTTGCTAATGTTATGTACTGTTTTCTTGAGGGAATGAAAAATGCAGTTAATGTAAAATTGATAGAATTTGTAAAACATACTTTGTTTTCACATGAATTAAATAATGCAGTAGGTTTTTATTTCAGGACTGAATAGCATTGACTTCTAGTCTCTAACTTATTGCATCTCCAAGTATTTCTTAGACTTTCTTATGCTTTTTGTATTATTCCACTATAAAGGATTTCAAAGCAAGCCAGTTAATACCCATTGCAATTCACTATATTTTTTGGTCGTAATTCTATTTTCATTTTCATGGAGAGGAACTGAAAGCATGATGACTTCTTCAAAATAAAAATAACAGCAGCAAAAATAAAAAGCCTTGGAGATTCCCTTTTTTAGAAAACCATCCAAACTCCCATCAATTATTGAATGCTCTTTTTAAATAATACCATAGTTTTGGCATTAAAAATACTAATGCTGTTGCAGCAGCCTAGATACATATATATGTGTATCCATAGAAATGATTCCCTAAATTGTAAGGAGGCAGACTCAAGGTGCACTTGCTAATAGTCTTGTTTTGAAAGAGTATCCTTCTGGATTGAAAGCACCATGTGAGGTATGTTATTTTTTTTTTTTTTTATTATTATCTTCATACATCTATTTTCAAGAAAAGTAGCTGTAGGAAAAGTGTAGTACTATTGAATTAATCTTCAGCTAGCACAGAGATCTGGGTTTTTTCGTGCTGGTGGTCTTTCTGTTGTTGATCTCCTTCAACATTTGTTTAGTGTTTTTTGTGAATGCCGTATCCAAGTTGCTGTTAAATGACATAGTAATCAGTGCATGATCTGATGGGATAAAGAAACACTTAAGGAAATAATCATTATTCATGAATACATTTTCATCCTTGGAAAAATGTTAACTAGGTGTTGGTAGAAGAAGCAGGTGATGGTATGAAGCACTCAGCTGGACTTCTAAACTCGATGAATTACAAAATTTAGTTGATTACTGCTTTGTCTTGCCTCATCATCCTGTGCTGGTGGCTCATCTCCATGGTAAGTAAAACTGCTACGAGGACGGAAGACTCAGAAGTAAAGAACATGTTTCTTCAAAGTTATTTCAAAATACGAGATAATTAATCTTATTACTGACTGTAGCTTCACCGTGTGCTTTGTATTTGCAAACTTTAAAATCTCCTCCTCTGTTAGAATGTACTAGATTGTCAAAGGAATAAGAAGATACTTCTCATAAATACATGATTCTGTACGTACATGTATTTCATTTTTTATCAATTTGTGGCAACATTCTCTGTCACCAGAGCAGTGGTGGAGGTTTGAGGCATTGCAGATAACCAGAGTTCTTGAGCAATTACATGAAAACATTTGTTTCATAGGTACATGCCTTTGAAAATCAATACCAGCAGTGCTTTCATGGTGGAAATTAATCCACTTTTGAAAAATCCTGGCCTTGAGTACTTAACCCATATTTCAAGGGCGGCTGAAGCATACTGGGCAGGGCAGGACTGAGGACATGTTTATTCTAAGAGGCTTCTGTATTGGAGCCGGATTATGTCCTGTCGTGGTCTGAAGCAGTCTGCACTAGAGAGACTATAAGCAGAATCCGTGGTTTTTTGTGGCTCTTTTTTAAGACCACCGTAAAACTATATTACTGCTGAAAGTAGTGCTCTCACCTTCTTCCTTGTTGTCTTACTTTGTGTGTGGAGAAGTATTTCAGTGCTTGCAGTGAGCAGGCTGAAATAACTTGCCTAGCTAAAATCCTAGTTTATCTTGTCTTTTGACTGATAAGTAGCAGTGGAATGTGTCTGATCTGGCTCCCTGTCTTAGTACTGGTACAAAGGAGGGGCTGAGAAGGCTGGATTGATGCTTTAATCTGGATAAAAGCTGGTGTGAAACCACAGTCAGAGAATTCTCATCCTACCTCCACTGGCATTAAAATAGAAGCCCTCTCAGGTTTTTTTCCAACCTCCGGTACCCCCTGTGTTAATTTTTCTTCCACAAAAGTGATTTTGTGAATTATATCTATGACAAATAATGGAGAAAAAAAATAGAAGCAGGCCAGAGTTTATGAAAGAACCAAAATCAATGAAGTTATTTGAAGAGAGAGAAAAGGAAGAGAAGGGAAAACATAAGTATGGATGAAAAATTTCGTTTCTTGCTACCAAGGAGTTATTTTAAGATATGTCCTATTAGAGGTACTAGAACTGCATCTGGCAGGAAACAGGCTAGAAATAATTATTTCTTAATTATAAGTATAATGAGAAAGTAATAAAGTGCCTAATGTCCTGTTATAAACATTTGTGTTTCATTGAAACTGTTTTCAAAAAATGGTGTTTTCATTATCAGCTGGAAAGAATTAGGAGACAGAATGGTAAAGGAAAAAGATTGAGTTTTATTAAGTATTACTGTTTCCCTTTGTTTTAGTACATTTCTTAACCAAAAATGTAAACAGTAAGTTTTTTTTTAATCTTTCTTATCAGAAATACTAAATACTGTATGTATTTAGTCTTCAG